AGAGGAGTCCTGAAGTAAGTTTGTTCTTGGCTGTGGATCTGGGAAACGTCCTCAGCCTGGGCCTGGATCTCTGTTTGGGTCTGTCTCCGGGTGCACTGGGGTAAATGAAGATTACAGAAACCAGAGCAAATGTCTTGTGAAATCCCAAACTCTTGGCTGTGTTCCGGTTGACAGGTCAGACACTGGAAGGTTTCAAGTTGCTTTGGTCCATCTTTGAAGACCAAAGATGAGGCAGAGGAGGTTAACTTCCTGCTGGGCTGCTGCAGGCTGAGCGCCGCCGTCCTCTGGAGCTCCTGCTGGTCAGCGACCTTTAAATTATTTCTGTCCATCCTGGAAACGCACTCATGCTGCTGCAAGAAGTAACAATCTGTCGACCTCATTGCACCGTCATTCTGAAAGTTTGAGCAACAGAAATGTATATTTTCATGTTGACCTCAACTAGAACCGCAGAGGATTCTGTATGAACAAGAAAGAAATTATGTTGTTAAACTGTTACTGTAATGTACATTTAGAAAATTACTATAAGTTGTTGAAACTGTATCTATCCCACTGCATGTGTTTCAATTAAAGAGCAGCAACACTTATCTGTTCTATATGTTTTCTGGGGATTAAATATCCATCCATCCATCCATCCATCCATTATCTATATACCATTTAAGCCTCACTAGGGCCATGGGAGGCTGGAGTCTATCCCAGCTAACTCAGGGTGAAGGCAGGGGACACCCTGGACAGGTCGCCAGTCTATCACAGGGCTACACTTAGAGACAGACAACCAAGCACACTCACATTCACACCTACGGACAATTTAGAGTCACCAATTAACCTCAACATGTTTCTGGACCTTGTGGGAGGAAGCTGGAGAACCTGGAGAGAACCCACACTGCACAGGGAGAACATGTAAACTCCACACAGAAAGATCCCAGGTGTCCTCACCGAGACGTGAACCGGCGACCTTCTTGCTGCGAGGCAACAGTGCTAACCACCGCTCCACCTTGGAGATATAAATAACTCGTTCCTAAATTCTAATCTGTTTTTATGACCTCACAGTCTTACAGGACAGCAGACCATTACTGTAACAGCACACCACTAAGTATGAAATATATCCGTGGCTGTTTTGGATTAAAGATTTAATTTACTTTCAGATGCTCCTGGTCCTGCTTCCAGAGGAACTCTTTCTCCCTCACAGCAGATCTGATCAGCATTGACAAGAAAAAAAGAACACTCAAAATATATCTGGACAAAAGGTAAAGAAAACAACACATGAAATCATTTTCTGCTTTTTGATTTTAGCAAAAGAATTGTCACAAGAAGGTACAAACCCTTAATTGAAAACACACATTGTCTCCTCTTATGAATGGCTCACTGTTTTAAAAAAAAAAAAAAGGCAAACTGCCAAAGTGCAAAGCTGTCACATGTTTGACTTTTGCCCTCAAGATGTTGTTTACAACCTCAGCTACCTCAGCCCAAATTATTTACCTATCTTCTACTTTTTTTAATTTCTGTTCCTTAAAATGATTTATTTCTCCATATGTAATGAGCCATTTTTTTCTTTGTTTCTATTTTTTTTAACCAGCAAAAGGCCGACAAAGTTTAACTAAACTGAATTAAGATCAGTGGTTAAAAGTTGTAAAATATCAATCTAAGCAAAACATCTGGTCGGCAATGTCAAGGACAGTAGAGCAAAAACTAACCAACAAATTGGCACAAGATGTTATAACCTACTAGATAATAACTCAGATATCAAGTCCAAATATGTTCAGAAGTAACTCCTCAAAGACCTTGAAGACCAGTAGTTTGATTACCTGTGGTCAGGCTGTGCTGACAGGATGTTCTTCACTTCTGGGGGGCTGACTGGGTTCTGGTCTCCTCGCCTGTTTTCAGTCGAGTCAGGCCCTGTTGATAGTAGGTACGTTTCTCTTAATAACTATGAATCAGGTGCTGAGTGGCTCAAACTGGCCGCTTAGACTCATCCATTACAAATGACTTAATCATCAGTCACAGCGTGATGTGCTATCTGAGGTCACAAAAAGGACAGATAACAGCTGGATAGGCATGAACTACTCAGCTCACTCATAGAAGAGGATATTACACTAATTCACGGATACGTATGAACCAATACTGACCTGATCATTCATTAATATAGTATCTCCCAATCTTCTAATGTAACTCATCATTACCTATACTATACGCATTGATTGAGACACTTGTTCTTTCATTAATTATCAGGTTATTCCTTGTAATTAGCTTGTTAATTAAGTGTAATTAATGAACCCTACAGTGTCACTGACTGCTTGCTCATTAGCAATCTTTGGGTTCATTGTGCTTTTCATGAATAATATTGCGGGTTCTTAAGCTTAATACTGTAAATTAATGAGGTGAATTCGTATTGTTGATGATACTGTAGGATTCTAAATGCAATATTTCGTCTGGTACATGTGTATAATATATAATAGTGTAGGATTTAACCTTAATATTTAAATAAGTGAAGTAAATATGACTAATAAATAATATTGTAGGATCTTAACCTTAAATGTAAAAAAAGCTTCTTGGGTACATTTGTATCATAAAGACATGTACTGCACAGTATATCAAGCAAGGAGAAAGATCATCACATGATTAATATACCAGTGTTTGTATTTTATTGTGTGTCATGTTAAGATTTATTCCCAAACTGTTTGTGAAAAACAGAAAATTTCTCACTTTGTTTTTTACATTTTTGTGTTGTAAAGTTTTAGCATCTGAGTGGAAGGACATGCAGAATGTAAACCGAGAGATCCAAAATGAGCAAATCTGTAGGATGAGTCGTGAAAGACAGCTTCACTGTGAGTTGCAAGCTGGAAGCCAAAGTATGCGAGTGCCAAACATCTCAGCCACCTGTGAGATAGTATGGACGAATGTGAGAAAAGTCGACTCAAGCGTGAGTTATAGCAGCAAGTACTAAGAGTGAGCAGAGTCGCAGCTGGGTTTGACAAGTTGAGAACAGTAGTTTGACTGTTAATCTAAATTCCTCTGATCAGATAACTAGCCACTGTTCATTTCAGTAAATCTGTTGCATGTCTTTGCCATTGTGCTTTTGCGTAACAGATGTGCTGCTGAGATATAGCACAAAGTTCACTTACTTTTTCGTTTTGAGAGAACGTGTTTTTACGGATTCCCATAATTGCCTTTTATGATTCATACTATTCCTTGGAAACAGCAGTCTTCTCATCTGAGTGCTGTTAATTGGAAGGATGAGGAAGTAAGAACGGCATCTGTAGATTTCCACGTATGCAGCAATATTAAACTCATTATCTACACTAGACATCTGATGTGTAGTTTTGTGTTATAAAGAGTAGTAGAACATAGAAATAACTTTTTCTAGACGAGATGAAATCTAAACACAGATGAGACAAGAGCAGTCATCAGCTACACACTGCCCACACCCTTCTAAGCTACTACTGTGCTCATCTGTGATATAACAATGATATATTTTGTTGTTACAAGATCTGAGTTTGAATATTTTCAGTATAAAACTAACTACAACATGGTTAAGTAATGAGGAATGCTCATAATAAAGTCAGTGTGATATGCAGTGGAAGAGATGATGTGTTTAAACACAAACTGAACACCTTATCATCCAGGTGACCGTTTTGTTGCGCAATATTTACTAAGGGCCAGCACACTACACTGCTCGGCTTTAATTACACCAGGTCTGCTCCCTGATACACTGCATTGCTGCCTGAGTAACCCAATACACAAACAACAATTGTCTGAAGAGGCAGTATGGGATCGGGAAGGGAGGTCGCGGTTTGCCTTAAAGAAATAAAGAGCGGGGACAAACTCATGACTCTCAGCTGATAATGTCAACAATAATAGAAGACTGACCGAGGTTTCTGCACCTATAAACCTAACAAACCAGTTTAAAGGCAGCTGCGGCTACATTATGACTAGCAGTAAAATCATCACACAATGACCACAGTGTATGCTCAGAAAACAAAGGGCAATGATTTTTCTAAACACATTGTACTTTGACATTTTATGTGCCTTAAATGTAGCTCTTAAATCCTCAAGCAGACCTGGGAGGAGGTCATGTCCTCTCACTGCCTCTGAAGCGTGCCCCTGGAGAGAGTCTGAATCCTAAGAGTTGTCTGGACTTGTTGCTGAAGTAGCAAAAGAGTTTGAAGCATGCAGAGCTGAGTGTGAAGCTCAGGCCTAACCCCCACCCCTTGTCCCTTAAAGAAATCCTCCTCCCTTAGGATGCAACATTCCACACAAATTCATTTGCTTGTCCTTACATAGTAGAAAACGTCAACAGCAGCTCTCTATCAGTCTCCTAATGTCCACGCGTAAATCTATCACAAATTCCCATGGATCCACATCTGCGTGCTGGACGGGGTTTTTCTCTAAATATCCCTTGGTAGCATTTTTAGGGGCTGCGGAGGGGACATACAGTTTTTAAAAGTGACACTGAGCCAGGAATCTTGGAGCTGAGACATTTGAAAGCTGTCATTCATGAGAAATTCCAAAGTCACACAGCAGCTTGTGGGATTTACAGAATTCTCAGAATAGCAAAAACAGTTAACTCTCACAGTTTGCTCCAGAAAATAGCAGTATGCTTTACAAGAAGGTGAAATGTTCCCACAATGTTTTTTTTCTTTTTTTTTTTCCCATACAGCTGGCTGTCTGTCAAAAGTCATATCAGCCCGTGCTATAAGTATGTGCCTGTTTTCACTTAGCTTCACACGGCAGCGTGTCAGGGCTGAACACGGCTACATTCAGGCTTCGGCTGAACTTGACTGCTAAAGAAATCTCTGCACTTCGGTGCTTGGTTTGATGTGTGGTTGGTCTTTTGTTTCTTAGTAAATAGGACTTGGAATTTTTTTGTATTTTAAAAGTTACAAGTAGGTCCCTGTGAGTCCCATTGGTCCAACACTCAGAGCAGCTGGTGACTCACCCCCTGAGGCAATAAGGAGGAGCTACAAATACAAGGCTGAGCAGCAACTCAAAGAGGACGTCTACCATTTGCCCTGAACACTGAAAGATTGCTTCCAGACCTGGTACTGACTATAAAAAAAACAGACCTTTGGAAGGCAGAAACGCAGGCAAGGACTGAAAGAAGGATTCAAAGAAACTTGTTTGGCGGGATTTTTCTGTTTTGTTTGGGTAAGATTTTATCTTTAAAAGGATTTCCTTGCAATTATAGATACAATAATTTGCTCTATGCATGTAGGGCACTGGCTAAAGTGTTTTTCTATTTTCTAGCTTGTGAAAAAACATTTGCTCATTCTTCTAGAAATGTCTGTGACTGCTCGAATGGCATTTGTCAATGGATCGGGGTACCAACTCATTGAAGACTGTGATGCCACTCACAAGGCGCTGTATAAGTTCTATGCAGCTGTCATGATTGTGATTTTTATCTTGGCTTTACCTCTGAACGCATCGGTCCTTCACCTCTTCATATTCAAGCTCAAGTTCTGGAAATCCAACACCAACAATGTCTTCCTCTTCAACCTGGTGTTGGCAGACATTCTCCTGCTCTTCTGTTTGCCGATAAAGGCGCATAACTTCATCAACGGAGAGAGGAGGAGCAGCGATGAAGTCGTCTGCAAAGCTATGCTCTTCATGTTGTTTTTAAACCGCGGCGCCAGCATCGCCTTCCTGACTGTGACTTCCATTGATCGATATTTCAACGTGGTGCACCCTGGTCGAAAGAATCTCCTGAGAGCGCTCAAGAAATCTCCTCAGATCTCTATCCTCATCTGGCTGCTGCTTCTGCCTCTCACCATTCCCACCATGCACAAGAACTTTGAGTGCTGCAACAGCCACAAGACCGGCCCAAAAGAAGACACCTTGATCAAGGTAGTGTTTACGGATTAAATCTACTATTTGCTGTCTCTACAGTTCATTCAGGTTTTGTCTGTTTTTGACAGGTTTTTAGTATCAAAATGTTGAGTATAGTGCTTGACATGCGAGAAATGACAAGAAATAACTGAACGATTGAATCCCTACGTGATTCATCCAAACCTGTTCGGCTTTTTCAGGAAAACAACTTTATGTGGGCGTGTTTATGACTGTTTCTCATATAAACGTTGCGAGTTGTGACCATGTGGCAACACAGTGCTGAGTGAGCAAGTTTTAAGGGCAGTGCTGGCATCAAAAGCTGAATCGTGTATAGGAAACACAGAGTTGTGCAATCTGAGGGAACAGAGAGGACGATGATGGCAAAAATAATAAAAGAACTCAATTTATATGATTGAGGAGGTCAAAAACTTCAGTCATAACGAAAGAATGTGTGTCCATGGTGTTCTCCCAGAGAGAACGCAGGACCGGGGGGTTATCTCTGCTTCGAGCCTGTTTCCAGAATTATTTTTTGCACTGTGACAGCACATGGCATTGCTGAAGTTGAGAGCTAGACTGTGTCAAATTGTACCACGCGACAGGGGCACTGTTTAGAAAAGATAGCAAACAGGATGCTGCTATTACACAATATATATCACATGGATGAGAGGAATTATGAGGGAGCATGCCTATAAGTGTATAAATTAGAACACCTCAAGAGTGCAGTATTGTGTTATTCCACAGCCACACACTAACAGAGGTTGTGTTTATGTTGCTTAATTATTGTTAGGCTACTGGTAAAGTGACATTATATGTCTATTCTAATAAATTTCAGGGGAAAATGTACTTTTTTTACTACATTTATTTGATTTCTGTAGTGTTAAGGTTAATATTTCATATTGTTTAAATAACAACATCTAATACCCTTGAAAATACAATATTATTACCAATGAATGTAGTAATTTCAGCCCTTTTTGTCACATGTCACACATGGGTTGCAATTCAGTGATACGTCATCGAAATCGGCAATATTAGGTAAAATTATCTAATACGTCACAAAAGCAAAGGTAGTCCGAAACAAATCTAGTAGTAGAGCTTTTTCCCCGTCTGTCCTATTTTATTAAATTTAAATGTATTTTGTGTCCAGAAGCTGGAAACCACCGGACTTAAGTGCAGAACTGAATATAATGAAGTTAAGACAAGCTCCACCTCCATCGGCTACAACAGCAAACTGATGCCTGAACGTTAATCGTATAATGTCTTGATATCAGTCACAGGGGCAGTTTTCCACAGAACGAGTGCATTTACTTTTGATACTAAAAAAAAAAAAAAACTAAGTAAGCCTCTATTTTTACTTAAGAGTTTGAACTTCTTGTATTTAAGGTTACTTTTTGAACTTTTGTTTAGGTGCAGGATCCTGAGTGCTTCCTTCAGTGGTGATTTAGAATCGAGGTTAAACTGCTGATCAGTATTTTAGGAACACTTTAGTCAAAAGTATACAAATGTATATAATGTTAAAGGTGGTCCCTCTTTTGATTTAAGGAAGTGGTGGACAGCATGAGAGAGGTGGTCTTCTTCACTCAGATCCTCATCCCGTTCATCATCCTGGTCTACTGCACCGTGCACATCGTCAACCGGCTCAGGAAGAAAACAGTCGGAGATAAAACCAAGCTGAAGAGGGCCGTCTTTCTGGTGATGTCCGTCATGGTGGTCTTCTCCTTCTGCTTCCTCCCCTGCACCATAGCGAGGATGGTTCTGCTGATTGTCCGGGTCCAGGAGTTGAGTGAATCCCACCAGGATAAGGCTGCTGTGGCCTTCGACGGCCTCATGGTTCTCTCCTACATGGACTGTCTACTGGATCCACTGGTTTACTGCTTCTGTAGCACCAAGTTTAAAGCGCTTTACCTCTCCAACTACTTCCCGTTTCTAGTAAAAGATGGTCAGGTGCCGATAGACAGCTCAACAGGAAACACAGTACAGCCTACACACAATACTGTCATTTGAAGTGAAAGAAAACAAAGGCTGGGGAGCTGCTGTACAGAATGTAGGCTATCGCTGTATGGACACCTGTTCAACTCAACAGGAGACTGACTGTGTAATAATGTACTGACTTCATGAAAGAGGACTCTGAAGGTAAAGTGTACTGTGAAGATAAGGTTTATGATCTTTATTTAAATTGCTATTATCCTGATATTGTTCAAACAAACAGAAGTACACATTATAAATAGCAGGGGCTGTTATGGTTTTTGATGTCACGAGTTTCTGGTATCATGAGCTGGCAAATGAGTAGCATGTGTTTTTCAGGCCAGTAGATCTCACACAATAGTGGCCTGAGGGGTGAAACTGGAAAATAAGAGCCCGTTAGGGGAAACATCTGTTTTTCAGTTTGTCTTGGACAGTGAAATGAGTAGAAACATTCCTTTCAAGAACAAAAATCATATCTGTCCTATGAAATCATACCAATCTCATACAGCCTTTATCTAAGCCTTCACAGTCAAGCACGCATAAGTGTTTAGCGCCGTCACTTAAGACTAAAAAAGATCAGAAAAATATTATCCTGGTACATGAGAAAAAGGCTTGTCAAACACATTTTTATGAAAAAGCCAAACTAAGGGAATCAATTGTACGCATCTATGTATTTATGTTTGTACAGTCATCCTCAAGTGTATTCATACCCTCCCATTAAAGAAAACAGGTGTCACTGAAATAAGTTGAAATTGACAAAAGCAATAATAAATAAAAAATTTAATGAAAATCATGACATTGCTTTTGAATTGTGGTTCAACAGAAATATTTTTAAAAAAACAAAAAAAAAACAATAACAAGCAAACAAGCATGATGGGACCCAAAAACTAATATTTTGTTGAACAACCCTTTGAGCCAATCACTGCATCAAGTGTTTTCTGTAACTCTCCATCAGACTTCTGCACCTGTTGACAAGTATTTTGATTTTTAGCCCACTGCTCATCAGCAAAGTGCTCTAATTTGTCCAGGCCATTTTTTTTCTTTTTTTTTTATTATTCTTTTCACCCACAATACAAAAGCAATGTCTTATTTCACTAAATTATAATTTAGCAAATTTGTATCTATTATTACTTCTTTCAATCTCTAGTTATTTGAGTGACTATTGTGAATTTTGCCTTTTCTTTAATGGAAGGGTATGAATACATCTGAGGACGACTGGATGTAGCTGACCCTAGAACAGATGCATAGTCCATAGGCCATAGTCTGTCCCCTGTTACATAAGACCTTAAGTCCCTCTCTTGACACTGAATTAACTCCTAGAAACTCACCTCTGTGTGTCAAAGTTTAATGTTTAGAATTTTTTCCCATGAAAATAATCATACAATAATCAACCCTCTTGAAATTGTATTAGATATAACTCTATGCTGTAGAATGCTGGGATCTATGAAGTCCCTGCCTCTCTCTCCACTCACCTCTCCCTACTCATGGCAGCTCAAGCACACCAGCTCGCCTACAACCCTGCTCAAACACTGTAAAGCTACTCCGGGCTAAACAATGGCAAGCTGTAATATTGGAGTAATTTAATCATACATGTTTGAACCTAGAAATCGATTCTGAAGAAGAACGATGATAGAGTCCCACCCTGCATAGGATTAGTCTCTTAAGTTTGTTACGTTCGAAACTCTGAAAGTCTGAATCCATGTTTCTGAGACTGTCATCAGTACACCGCAGATTCAAGGTGGAAATATTCAGCCGTGGTGTTGACTCTTTGTCCTGGTAATGTGTCTCCTAGCAACAAGGTCAGAAGATTTTTACAAAAAGAAGATGGCTACTATTGTTGATTTAATATTGTGCTATAAAACTGTTCATACTGTATGTATAGAGGTGAGGGGGTAATTGCTATGTATATACTTTTTGTCCAGAGTAAGTTCTTGTAAATACATTTATGAAAAGGTTAAGATAAACTGTCCCTCACTGTGTTGGGAGCATCAGCCATTAATCCAGTACACAAAGTCACATCTCACAAGTGTAAAATTTCCCTGAATTACAGTATAAATCATGAGTCACAACTTTAAGCAGACTGAACTACACTTTACCCAGAATTACTCACAGAAAATCCGCTGGACCTTCATAAGTCACCTGAATGACTTCCCTCATCCTGATGATGTCATCAATGGGAATAATGCAGGGAGTGAGGTTATGTCTTTTGTTCACTGTCTGACTATAAATAGACTCATGTAATGAGCTGGAGTCTGGTGAGTCTGTGTTGCATTACACTGACTACTTTTTGCCACGACATGTCTGAAAAGGTGAAACACTGTAACGTTGTACTGAGACACTTGTGTTGTGGAATATTCTGAAACTTTCTTGTAAAATTATTATTTTTTATTAAAAAAAAGAATTATTGACTATAATGCATGGTTTTAATTGAGTCTGAGATCTCAAGGAATACTTCTGATCACAGGGTCACAAACAAGAGGATTATTCAACACGCATCAATATTTAGATCTGCAAATGTCACACTTGTACACCTGACAACGTGTAAGTCAACGTGAAAACACAGCAAATATTTACCAAGTAAAGAGAGGCACACACAGCCAACAGTCATAAAAAGTATGGCCTCAAATGATACAGTGCTGGAGTTTACAAGCAAACTAAATGCTAACACCCTGCAGGGGTGTTTTTGTTTACTTTGTCAGACAGTTGTGTAAATTTCACCTGTGCAATGATGGATGTGTACATTTTTGCAGTATTTATCATTTATTTGTCTGTGACCCAGATGAACTCTGCTAGACAGCCAAGAAGCTTCATTCTTTTTAAATTTTAATCCACAGGAAAAGTAAAAATGTGGCCACCAGCCCACTTACAATCACGCAGGCATCTTATGTGGGTTTTAAAACTAAAGTTGTACGACTGAAGTTGTATGACTGTCACACAAGTTGAAATGTTCATAACCATGTTTTGCAGGTGTAGTTATGTAAATAGTCACCATGGCCTTTGTGTGTGCTTTACTACTGCTACAACATGTGAACGTGTAAATATATTTTCATCTTTGACTACATTACTGCATTTCTGCTGAGTGATCATTTCTGCACGCACGCACACCTTTGGATTGTTTTAAAGTTGGCATCCCACGACTGATTAGACACAAACATTCCCACGAAGTTTAGATATGAGTCAGCATGCACTTACACAATATTGTGACTTCTGTAATGGGATAAAGAGTGAGTGTGATTTTTCATGACTGGCTCCATTCATTATTAGGACATTAATAAAAGAAGGAAAAGGTGTCTCATGATGACTCGTCTTTAAGCCAAGCTACTAAGCTCTGTATTGTACATTTCTGGCTCCATATAATCCAACAATAGACAGGCAATTTTCTTTCATACAAAATCCGTAAGGTGACGACAACAAAGCTTCTAGCTAAAATAGGAAATTAATATAAATGGTGAACTTTAGGCCTCTAGTGAAAAATCTATAAATATTTAGGTTCCAAAAAAGTGCAGACTTCCAGCTTTCATTCAAGGGGTTTAACATAAGCACTGTATTAACTGTTGAGGAATTACAGCCATTTTTTGATTCTCAAAGGCACCAAATGCTTTCCTCCCCTGAGATGCTTTGACAAGACTTTATTCCAGCCATCTTCAGCTGCTGCTGCTTGTTGTGGGTTTTTCTACCTTCAGTTTTGTCTTCAGTTTGTGAAAAGTCAGATGATTGACTCAGCCATTGAAGAACATTCCATTTTTTTAATGTTCTGGATCATTGTCTATCTGCACTGTGAAGGTCCATTCTATCAGTTCTGCAGCATTTGACTGAATCTGGGCAGAAAGTAAAGCTCAGCAAACTTCAGAATCTATCCTGCTGCTTCTATCAGCAGTCACATCAACAACAACCACCAGTGATCCAGTTCCATTGGCAGCCATACATGCCCATATCATAACACCGCCTCCAGTATGTTTGACAGATGATGTGATACGCTTTGGATCATGATCCGTGCCTTTCCTTCTCCAAGTTCATCTGGTTCCACTGGTCTAAAGAATCCTTCTCCAGAACTGAATGATTTCTGGATGGTTTTAGTCAAAGTTTCTGTTCTTCAGTGTTGCCAGCGATTTGCATGTTGTAGAAAATCCTCTCTATGTTGATGCTACACCTACGATGATAGGTCTACTTCCTTGTCTGGTTTCTTGACTTGGTTTGATGTTGAGAAGTTGTTTTTCTTCACAAAAGAAAGAACCCACTTTGTTGTCTCTACTGTCTTCCAGGCCCTTCGGTGCTGCTGAGCCTGCTAGTTTATTACTATGAAGAGTTCATCTGTAAAAACAGATAACTCCATCTTCACAAACCTACAGAAAACCAACTTTTCCATCGTCTACCTGAGATAACATAAATCAAATTTAAGTTATCTCTATTTTTGTCATGTCATTTCTACTGAGTCAAATTCACTCAACTTCAATTTGACTAATATTATCTCAAGCAAACAACAAAAAATAAGTTTTAAATCTACGGAAAATTGAGTTATCTGTTTTTCCAAATGAACTCCTCACTTCTTAGGAATGTGTCAATCGAGTTAAGTTTCTCTCTGGTAGGTCGGTTTTGTTTTTTCCCCCATCTTCACTTGTATCAACACATTTTTTGAACACTTAGAATCAACTCCAGAACTTTTTTCTTCTTATTTCTTTATGTAACAATGAGGAAACAGGCCACTACTGGCTATAAAACTGGCCATCACTCAATTGTCCTATTACCTTTGAGCCGTTCAAAATGGATGGACTGTGTGGGGAAAAAAAGGCTGTCACTCCTGAACAGTAAGTCTTTGTTGAACCCATTGAATTATAGTCTACACTCTGCAAGTCTGCACTTCAATCACATATTGATTGCTTCATTTGTAATCCATTGTGGTTGTGTGTGTACAGAGGCAAAATTACGGACCTGACTGTAAGCCTAATTATTACCAAAATAATTATAGCTTCCTGTTGTCTGTCTGTCTGTCTGTCTGTCTGTCTGTCTGTCTGTCTGTCTGTTGTTGCTTGCACAAGACTACACAGGAGGGGAGAAGAGTCAGGTCTCAGAGGAAGATATGTGTGTAGATGATGTGTTAAAGCTACATTTTATAATTAAATGTTTAGCTTATTCATTTCCTACCACTAATTCTAAAGCGGTCACTGGTATGTGTAGAGTTTCGTGTGATTACAGCATGCTAAAAATCTCAATCCTACACGTACAAGACTCTACATGTTGGAATGAAATCTGGGTCAGATAAGACGTGCTGTTTTGTCTGTGTAAACAGGGCAGAAGTGTTGACATGGGAGGCAGTCGTTGGTTCTTACCCTTCACAGGATGATTAACGGGCGTCCTTTGATCTGATAGAGGAGATTGCACCGAGAAAACTGGAAGCTGTGGAGCCAGGTAGCCGAAGACGACAGAAACGGGGATGAAATCAAGAGCGAACATGTGAAGGGTAAAAAGAAGACACAAAAGATTTCAGGCAAGAGAAAGTAAACAGAGAGATTTCACTGACTAGGGAACATTTTTAGCTACAAAAGGCTTTTTTTCCCTCAACATAATACAAAAGGATTCAAAGAGCTTTATCACCCTATATG